AAACCACCCGCTCATGAAAACTCAATGCTCTACGTGATTCACATCGCGCGCTAAACGTTATCGTGACAGTTTCTGCGATGTAAACATCTGGCAACCTCAATCTTGACGCTTTGGCTCAGCTATAGCAAATTGCTAATAGTTTGAACAACACATGGTGGAAAATGAACATTGCTCGGTTGAGAGGCTTGCTGAAACCGTTGTAGTGCGCGATTTGACTCGCGTAGAGCTTTGAGTTTCTTGTGAGCGGGCAGTTCGAATTCCTTGTAGCGCCAATGTGAAATAAAAACGTTAATATCTTTGTTAGGAGTTGGTTTCAGTAATTTTCGTTGTGTGAATCGTGTTCTACGTGAAATTCTGGTTAAGAAACATGTATCAGATTGCTTAAATTTGTACCTTGTCTAGTGGTCCATTGTGAGACGATGAGTAGAAATGGAACTCTACGAATTTATGTAAAATTCTGCGAGATCACATGATGCAGATGGTTCTCCTGGTTTTCTCCATAATTATATAATTCCAAAGCTCTCAAAGTTGAGGCTAGTATCAGATGAGATCCCTGGCACTCCTGGCAGAGACTCCACCTCTTTTTGGATTGCATTTTGCAATAAGGAACCAAGAGCAATCCAATGTTGCGAAGATTGTGTTCCTTACATTCTTTGAAATAACATTACTGGAATCACCAGGGCCGGATTTAGGAGGAGGCCATTTTGCAAAGTTTTCCAATGTAGGTAGGAAAAAAAATAGGATTCTGAAAAAAAAAATACAAACAAGAAAAGGCGACAGAATCACTCATTTCCTGAGAGCATAGTAATTTATAATTTTGTCGTCTTTCGGTGATACAAAGAGACAGCACCTTTCATTAGTCGAGTGAAGAGAGAAACCAAACCCGCATTTTGGCCTGGAGCGGCGCGGCACAGAGAGCAATGATGTCGAGGACTTGAAATGAAAAGGAGAAGCCATCGGCGCGGCGGTCGGCATGTAACACATATTAGCGCCTACAAGAGTGCATGAACACTTCACGCATTGCGTCAAACACAGTGCGGTCAGCGTGAAACGCATGGGAAAATGAGATGATTTGATCGCAGCTCAGAGAACTTTCCGCATGACTGCGACCCAGGAAACCCCAAAATTGATCCCCTGAAAACAGCTCAAAGTTAGAGGACGGCAAAAAAAAAAAAAAAAAAAAAAAAAAAAAAAAAAAAAAAAAANAAAAAAAAAAAAAAAAAAAAAAAAAAAAAAAAAAAAAAAAAAAAAAAAAAAAAAATTGACAAAATCGCAGTCAAAGTTTGTCGCCCTCTTGTCATCCACAGACTCGATTATTTCCAAAAGCTTGTAAATACGTAACCAGGGCCGGATTAGGGGGTGGCCAAATGGGCCGCGGCCCATGGCGGCAAAATGTAGGGGGCGGCAAATTTTGCAATCTTTTTGAATGTAGGTATCAAAAAAAGAGAGAAAAAATTGAATTCAGAAAATAAATTACAAACAAGAAAAGATGACAAAATCTCTCATTTTCTGAGAGTAGTAGTATGGTAATTTCTGATCATGTCGTCTTTTGGCGATAAAAGAGACAGCACCTTTAATTAGTCGAGTTTGGACCACTAGATAAGGTACGAATTTCAGCATTCTGATACATGTTTCTTAACCAAAATTTTACGTAAAACACGATGCTCACAACGAAAATTACCGAAATTAACTCCTTACGAAGATATTTAATGATTCTTAATGCGTGAATTCAAACCACCCGCTCATGAAAACTCAATGCTCTACGTGATTCACATCGCGCGTTAAACGTTATCATGACAGTCTCTGCGATATAAAAATCTGGCAACCTCAATCTTGACGGTTTGGCTCAGTTATAGCAAATTGCTAATAGTTTGAACAACACATGATGGGAAATGAACATTGCTCGATTGAGAAGCTTGCTGACACCGTTGTAAGTGGGCGATTTGACTCACGTAGAGTTTTGAGTTTCATGTGAGCGGGCAGTTCAAATTCCTCGTAACCAATGTGAAATAAAAACGTTAATATCTTCGTTAGGAGTTGGTTTCCGTAATTTTCGTTGTGTGAATCGTTTTCTACGCTAAATTCTGGTTAAGTAACATGTATCAGATCGCTTAAATTCGTACCTTGTCTAATGGTCCATTTGACCTGGAGCGGAGTAGAGTATACCTGTATAGGGAGAGTACCGACAGATCGGTTCATGGAGGGCTTAGGGCCCAAAAGTGCAGCCACCCTTCTAACCAACTTCTAACGCACAAAATTTCACTGCCAGTCTGCAAATTCCAATTCTAACCAAGATGGCCAAGAATGTACAGAAATGAACGTTCTTCGGCGAAATTGAGTAAATTTATGCAAAAACTGAGTCAAACACGTGCTAAATAAAGGACGGTTCGTAACAATAGTATCAGTAAATCGCTCTGGATAATTGAAATTCATAGGTTGGCTGCCCTTTTGGGCCCTAACTTTATTCGCGGAGGCATCGGTGAAGGCCTGATGGACTTTCGGAGTTTCAGATCTGTCGGTACTCTCCCTATACAGGTACTCTAGAGCGGAGCGGCGCGGCGCACAGATCAATGATATCAAGGACTGAGATGAAATGGAGAAGCCCTCAGCGCGGCGGTCGGCATGAAACGCATAGCGCCTGCAAGACTGCATGAATACTTCACGCATTGCGCGCGAAACAGAGCGATCAGCAGCGGTCGGCGTGAAACGTATAGCGCCTACAAGACTGCATGAATACTTCACGCATTGCGTCAAACACAGTGCATGCGGTCGGCGTGAAACGCTTAGCGCCTACAAGACTGTAAGTAACTTCACACGGTCAGCGCGGCGCGGCGGCGGAAGTTAACCATCCATGTTACGAATTCGTAACAACGTATTTTCGGAGTTTTTAAAAACTGAAACTTTTCCCAGCGCGCCATGATTTTGCAAAATTATGCATTAGTTTTTTTTCTGAGTTTATGAATAATGAAGGCATTATGCTGAAATTATGCAATGCGGAGTTTAAGCGCGCAACTCCTCGAATTCTGGAGTGGATATAGGTATGTGACGGTATCACGCGAACATGAAAGGAAATCTAACAATAAGCTTTGCTTTTCACCTGTCTAAAATCATACTGATAAAAGTCTTTGAATTTGGGATGTGGCGACCTTTTAATTCAAGATTCTTTCTCGAATATGCGCGCGGACATTTATTCTTGTTATCAAATTAAATCTTTAATTCCATCAAACTGAAGAGGGTAAATTGGCGGATGATGAAAGTACCGTGGCTAAAATTGCGAAGTTAAATCTGTTGGCCGATCAGGAATGAATTGAAAAAATTAAATATGCTTTTACTCACCACAAATCATATAAAATGTGACGCCTTGTTAGCGAAGTTTTTCCTTAAAACCATAAAGGTAAATCAGTTTGCAAAATTACAAGTTTGTTGATGCTAAAAATAATAGATGGCTTTATATTTAGTTTTACATCATGGTGTAGGAACAGCAATTTTTTTATTGATTTGATACACATTGTGATAATTTTAGAAAAATCTCCTGCAAAAATTGTGCACTAAATTACAACGGTATCGCCTCTCTCACAAAATGTTTACTCGCATTATTGGACTGAATAGCTGGATATCCGTGCAAAATGTTTTGACTTTTTCATCCGTCATCTTGGTGATGAGTGCTTCACGCAATGTGCAGGAAAATACGAGGCGATTGGTGGAAATCGCAAATCAGTCAACTTAATTGTATTATGTAGGTAGGTATTGTAAATAATAATTTAAGTACAGGTTTGAAGATAGGTATAGATGAATAGAACCTCGCCCTCTTCCGCTTATTTGAGGATCACTGCCGATAGTTGGACGTATTTTTATCAAACTGAACGAAGCGCCATAGGGGGAGAAAGGGAGAGGGGGGCTTGGATTGGCGGGTGTTGCGGAACGCGATGCTCGTTCCGTCCTATATTCGCAAATCGACG